TGAGCAAACATTCTCAAAATATTTTTTTACAGCTCTATAATGACTAAATGTGTCCATGCTCTCAGTTTCTCAGGCAAGAAGGATCAGAGTAATTCAGTGACAGTTTTAATAAAAACATTCTTTTCACAGTAGTTTTTTTCCAAAACTGTGATACATTTTTCTCACAGAAAAAGTTACTTGTTTCCATCTGAAAAGATTTGTCTCTTTGATGTCTGCTTTTCACCAAGGAACAGAGAAAAAGCTGTATTTCTATCCTGAAAGCTGGGAGATTGGGCTCAAGTCCTTGCTTTATCCCAGGTTTCCTTCTTAAACCTCCCTTTCTTTTCCAGGAGAATGAAGAGAGATTGTGATGCTCCCTGACTGGGTCAAACCCAGTAAGTTATTACTATTATTAAATTATTATTGGATTAATAAATTATCATTAAGTAATAATAAGTAGTAGTAGTATTGCCAGTAGTAGAAGTAGTAGTATAGTCCTTTAGTTGTATGGCTAAATGGTGGTTTGATTAATACCGAGTAGCTTTGTGGTTATAGCTGGTGAGCTGCCACTGGCAAAATCTGTCTTGGTAGGGTACTGCACACTGCTTTTCAAGAACAGTACCACTCAGAGCCCCCTTACCCTCCTGCAGCTAACATGCAGTCCCACCATCCCACCAGCTGTAGAGTGGTACAGCAGATTTGAGGTGTTCAGAAGAGTCTTTCCTATACTGATAAATTTCATCAAATTCATATAAATCCTGTTCAGTGTTCCCCCCACTGACCATAGTTTTTTACAGGAGAGTAGCATAGCTAACCAGGTTTCTGATTCATCATCTGTGCCATTCTCAGCACCATACTCTCCATGTATCTTTAATGGCATTATCCTCTGTTGTCTTCAGACCATTCATTTGGCAGGTTTAAACACCTTTAAATTTTGATCTTGGCCTTTGGTGTGCTTGTTGCCTTTCCCAGTATTGTTTACAAATTTAGTTAGAATACAGATTTAGTAAGAATTTCATCTTCCAGGTCATTAGTAAAAAGAAATGGAAAAATGGAACGTCTTCCAAGTTTCAGTAAAAGGATCCATAGTTGTTAGCATTTATAATAAAGTAGAAGGAAAATCAGAAGTAATCCAAGACCTGAACCCACTACTCCTGTCACTGCTTGCTCTTATAAAAAGTCCCTCTCCAGATTTCTTTTAGGCCCCTTCAGCTACTGCCAGGCTGCTCTGAGGTCTCCCTTGAGCCTTCTCTTCCCCAGGGTGAATGAGGTGAGACAAATTGCCACATGCACTGAGAGCCAAACACCTAAAGAAGGCTCCAGGCTTCTTTATCAACTGCTTTGGTTTCAGCTCATCCAGATCATCATTTGGTCCTTTCATCCAAATTTGGTTTTCTATCACGAGTGAGTTAAACCAAGAAGCCTGTGTGAATCCCAGTGGTGTATGAATAAAGATCTGGGAACTGAGGCCCCAGTGCACTGCAAATAAAATAAGAAGTGAAAAATCACACCAGCATTGGAATAAGGCAGTTTCAGCCAACTGTTGAATATGTAACACAGTCTCTTGAGGAATTTAGCTCCTGAGTAGCACAGCAGTGGAGGAGAGGGAGGGTTTATGACCTGACTGCCTCCTCCAACCCAGGCACAGAAAAGCCATGTATTCAGCAAATTTCCTGCAGGCTTTTGATGCAAAGCAGGAAGCTGTACATTAACAGAGCATGCACTGATCTCTAAAAGCATCTTGCATGTTGCTGTCAAGAGTGAAGTTAATTTCTGATACCAAGCCTAGACTGCGAGTGAATAAAATGAGATTACAAAGTGACTTTATTCTGAGAATAATTGTATTGCTGCCTTTGTGTGTGCATTCGAGAGGTTTTCTTCCTAATTGAAGTGTATGGAGAGAGCACTTCTAGCATTTGGAAATAATATTTGCCAAGGACATGTGATAAGAAAATTGTGATAAGACAAGCTGTATACGTCCTGGGGAGAAAAACCCCTGCAGAAATGACCAAGCATCTTCCCAGCTCCTCTAATTTTTAAGCATATGAATAGTTCCCTAAGTGCAATAATACTATTTACATGAATAAAGATGTCAGGGTTTCATTAATACAGTACTGTGATTCAGTGTTGTATCAGACTGGAGAGTAATTTAGGATGGCATAAAATCCTACTAGCATGTTCTGGCTGTCAAAGCGTGCTCTGTGTACACGGTACGCACTGCAATTTGTTTTGCTTTATTTTGACCATCTAAATGTCACAGCATCTAATTGAAGTTAAATGTCATGGCTTTAGCCAGAAGTGGAAGATGGGTACAGGCACTACTCCGGGATGGTTCAACTGATACCTACAACAGGTAGTGTAGATTAAAATAACTCTCTTTTACTGTTTCATTACTAAATGAAAGTAGAGAACAGGAACTGGGAAAATTTACTCAATGCTACTGAGTAGGAAAAAGGTATTCAGATAATCATCTGTTTCTTCTCTTGAGCTTTTCTGTTACGTATGACTTCTGCAAAGCAGAGGTATATTTTCATTTTGGGTCTCAGAACATCTATATACAAGATACTGAATGCTAGACATCATGGTTAGGAGGGAGAAGAGCTGTATATTATTAGACTAATGAGTATACTTGGGCATAGCAGAGGAGCTTTCCAGCATTCAAGTCTTTCTTCAAACAAAAACAGAAGAACCTTTCAGCTCCTGGCTGCAGTTGCCATGGGAGCAATTTTGAACAAATATGTAATTAGAGCTGGTCAATATTTTTAATGAAGGAATGGCTTTCATTTCAGAAACAAACTTGTTTAGCACATAATAACCAAAATTGGAATTGAAAACATTTAGTCTGGTTTGTTTCCGCTTTCCTTTTTCTTATTCTGCTTAATTCCTTTAAGTGGCTGAAAATCTTTATTTTTCCATTTTCCTTGAAAATGAGCCTTTTTTTAATAGAGGCAAAACATGTTGCAAAATATGTGGATGAAAGAGTTGGTCATTTAAAACCAGTCCTTCAGGGCTAAATTCACAATCTTGGAACCTTCTGTTAGTGTTAATAATAGGGTAGATATTTAAGTATCCAATATCCAAATTATGATCTTCAATGAGTTCTTCACTACCACAGTTTTAACTTTAAAGGCACCTACATTTCAGAAGCCTTGAACCTGTATTTTCCACAGTTACCAGAATTTTTGTTAGTAATTGTATGCCAATGGTCCAAAGTAGTCCTGTCTCAATGGGGGTGCATGGCTTGGTGTCTCATTTATCCTGAAACATGTTTGTCATCTATAAATCAGATGGGATGGCTCAGTTGAGCAGCTGTGGGCTGCTCCCAGATCAGTGTATCCTCTGTGTTCAGTTGTGGGGCTGGGCTGACATGGGGTTTGCCAGCAGACATGAATCACACTTGCTAGAGGGAGGAGTCAAGACACAGGTACTTTCTTATTTAAAAGTTCTTCTGTTTTTTTAACTTTCTGAAGCCCTCCTAATGAGTCAGCAGGGTATTATAACATAAAAGTGGTTTCTTTAAAGAAGGTGTTTTAGTGTTTCATCCTCAGTAAACACTCAAATGTATAAGAAAAAAAAAGCCCTAGAAATCATGCAAAGGTTTCTTGAACTGGAAGCCCTTCCCATCTATATGAATATATATATATTAAATATATATTTTTTATATATATATATGAATGGAGGCACTGTAAGCTTTGAAGCAGAGGTATTCTGTTGAACAGGCTGAGTTATGACGCTGTCACTGCCATAGAGGTAGCCTTTATACTGTCTGAATTCTCCAGGATCTGTTATGTAGTTGCCTGAAGTCCAAAACTCCACAGTCATTCAGCTGTATGAATTTCAAATTAAGATGGCACCACAAATTAGTGGATGGAGAAATGTGAGACAACAAAGCCATCTGGTCCCAGTGTTTGACCTGTTCAGGACCCTTGGTACAGTCAGCCTGAATGGACGCTGATTAACCTCTTTGCTCTTTACCCATTGATGTTAAGCAGTACCACAGACTATCACATTCTAAGATTTCTGAATGAATTAAAGATACCTGGTGAGCAGTGAGATTATGGCACTGTTACACTGGGTCTTTGCTGAAAGCAATTCATTTACTGCGTTAAGCAATTGCTGCCAGCTTGCGTGCCCAAAGCACCTGTAAATGCCTCCACACCAGACGGGCATATGCTCTTCCTATGGGTCCTTCGAGGACAAAATTGAACATTCCCTCCCTCCCCGCCCTCCCTCACCCCCCAGGTATTCCATTCCTGTAAAATTGAACTCTATACTTCTCAGCTCTCCAAGACTGGTAAACTCATGCAACTCACTAGAATATTACATTTCACAAAAATCTGAGCAAGTTTCAGGTTGTTGAGATTGAATTTTTTTGTTGGTTTGTTTCCAGTTATGGAAGAATGTTCATTCATTATATGCCTATGTATTTCTTTTCTTACCCTATCCCGATTATGCAGGGTATGCAGATCAAAGCTTTGTTTATCAGCTGGTTATATTAAAGATGAAAACTGTAATATTCCCGTGATCCCATACGGGCATTCAATAAAGCAAAAGATGAGTTCCCCTCATAAAAAAAGAAACCAACAGAGAAAAGAAAAAGGATGATTTTCCAAGGGCACCTATTGAAAGGACAACAATACTAATAAAAAAAAATTGTATTTACTTAGAAGCATTCAGAATGTCAACAAAACAGCTGCAACTTTTGTTTCTCCTTTTCGCAATTACAGAGTGGTATTCAGTTAACAGAACAACAATTATTTTTTCTGATGCAGAGACAACTGAAGATGAAAAAGGAACTACATCCCCATGTAGAACTAATTTGTGCTGTGCACCAACAGGAACCTGCTTTAAAACTCCCATGCCAATTTACAACCCCCACACTGTACCAGGCAAGGTTAGTGGCCGTTGAAATACCACTAAGGACAGGGCTATCTAAAGACACATTTGGTAGTGTGTTAACTATACAAAAAAAGAGACACTGTACAGTTTAAAAACAAATCTTACACAGCCTTACATTTCAATTTTGTTTTTTTTTTTCTTTTTTTTTTTCTTTAAAAGGAGTGAGTTGTGTACAGGGGGGTTAAATGCTTTATAGACAAGAAAGAAATTGCTCTAAAAGAGACTTATTCATCATCATCATCTTCATCCTCCTCCTCTTCTTCATCATCTTCCTCCTCTTCGTCCTCATCCTCATCTTCCTCCTCCTCCTTCTTCTTGCTCTTCTCAGCCTTGGCAACTACTTTTTTGCCTGCATCAACCTTCCCTTTGGCCTGGTATGCAGCAATATCCTTTTCATACTTCTCCTTCAGTTTGGCAGCCTTTTTTTCATAAGGCTGTTTATCATCTGCAGCAGTGTTGTTCCACATCTCTCCCAGTTTCTTTGCAACATCCCCAATGGACAGACCAGGATGTTCTCCTTTGATTTTTGGACGAAACTCAGAGCAAAACAAGAAAAAAGCCGAAGGAGGCCTCTTCGGTGCATTTGGATCCTTGAACTTCTTTTTTGTTTCCCCCTTAGGTGGTACATAGTTTTTCATTTCTTTTTCATAAAGAAGCTTGTCGGCCTTTACCATATCTTCAAACTTCCCTTTCTCCTTAGAAGACATAGTCTTCCACCGTTCTGAGCACTTTTTTGAGAACTCTGAAGAGTTCACTGAAGCATCTGGATGTTTTTTCTTGTGCTCCTCCCGGCAGGTTTGCACAAAGAAGGCATATGAAGACATTTTACCTCTCGGCTTCTTAGGATTGCCTTTGCCCATTTTGGATGATTTTCGGTGTCACAGTCGGCACGCAGCCCTAGCTCGGTCCTGAGCCCCAGAGACGCTACCCTGGCCGCCCGCCCAGCCCCAGCGCTGCCTGGGTCCCTGTGTAGCCCGGTGCACCACGATGGCTGTGAGAGCGGGATCGATACGCAGCCTCCTCACACTCTCAATACTGGTGAGTGTAACCTAAAAGGCTATCTTGGAGATATATTTGCCTGGGTGTGCGTGGCTGTATTGCTGACATAAGAAATCTGCTAATTCTTGTTAAAGATGATGCTGTTCTGCCCAGGAACTGCTGCTGTGGTGGGCTGAAGTGCAAGTAGTTACTTGTGCCATGCAATTGCGTTACAGAAATTAAACGTGTTGAGCATATCTTTCCAGCAGTCCTCAGAGGAAATTGTATTTGTTTTTTTTCTTAGCTCTTCCTAAGGCTTGAATTAAATAGCCAGCAAGCTAAGTATGCCTATGAAACAGTGGTGTTATAGTACACATCTGTGAAAATTTCACTTGGAGACAGATCTTGAGCACAGATCCATTGATGTTAACAGATGTATCCTAATTGATACCCCGGAAGCTCTGTTGATGATTCATATGTTTTTTACTCTGTTGGTTTGGGACTTTTAAATTTCTCTCTTTGCTTTAGCATAAACATACAAACACAAGAAATAAATGCATCTGTGCATAATTTCTATATTGTAACTGGAAACATCCTCAGACTTGAAATCCATTTCTGCTTTATTCATCTTTGTACACAATCCCACTGACTAGGAAATTTTCATTTCATTTGATTCCCACAGCAGTTAAACTGAATAAAGGTCCTTTCCAACACTAACTATTCTATAGTTCTGACTGCTCCTTTGGGTTCAGACTGTCTGGTGATGCTGATCAGCCTTGCAGAGTATAGAGAATTGCAGGTGGAATGGCAGTTACCAGTCTGGTACTGCACCCTGGGCATGTACGTCAAAGCGCAATTTGCATTTCTTCCTTTACTCGCTTTGAGTGATTTTTATTCTGTTGAATAGCAGTTTGCTGTGTTTCAGTAATATGGGATTTGCATTATTTCCTTTGGTGTGGTTTTGGAATTAACATGCCTACTACCACTTAACAGAGGGGGAAATGAAGCACAGAATAAATGGATTCAAGGAGAGAGTGGTATTTCCAGCAAGTGCTATCATGCAGCATTTATCCCATGAACCTCAGTTATGAGTAGATGATGCCTTCGCTTCCCAACAAGGGGTGAAGAACAGCTGATGCTGCTTCACAAGTGTCCTTTACATGAAGGCCTGTGAGAGCAGTTGAAGGAAAAAGAAGGCAATAATAAAAGTACTTCTTGAGAATGCAGCAATTTGAATGAAGGACTGAAATTCTTTCAGATAACACAGACTGGTCATTAAAAAGAACATCTTTATTACTGACATCATTTAAGTTATTCCTTGAGAACATTTCAGAAGTGCTTTAGTTTTTATGGCATTTTGAAGCTAATCACTTAAAAATAAGGCAATTGCAAAGAAGTTAGTGTGGAATTAAGGAGTACCAAGCCAATTCTGCTGTTCTATTTCAGTGAAATGTGTGTGGGAAATGGGAGAGGGGTAGGATAAGAGTTTCTTTTCACTGAACAGAAACTTGTTCAAATGAATATAATGTTAGATCTAAAATTCAGGAGTATGGATAGACTCATCAGGAAGGGTTGCAGTGAGCATGCAGAGAGTATAAAAGCTTTAAAAAGCTGTGTCTGGATACAGCCCTCCTGAAGCTCTGTTTCAGGTGGCAGTTCTCAAATACCAATGAATTTCCGGGTCTAGCAGAGTGAACACTGAGTCAGAAGTAAGCACTGGGTTCAGAGTTACTGCTTACATTGTCTTGGATTAGTCATTTCATGTTTTGTCTGAAGTGCTGATGTTATTAATAGTATGAAATAATGATATTTAAATTACTCTTGTTGATTGTAGTTGATTGGAAAAATAGCTATTCTGGTTGCTTTTTCTTGAATAAAATCTTTATTTGTTTCCACAAAGACCACAGAAGTAGCATTTTGCTCAAACTTCAAGTGTTTTGACTAGGTATCCTTGCTTCCCATGGGGTTGCCGTTTGGAGCTGTATACCTTGTCGTGTGCTATGGCCAGGGCTCACTTATGGGGCAACAGGGGAAGGCACATACATACTTTACATATTCCCATTGCATTTCAGACCATGACTACCGGTCTGTGCATAACACCAAAATGTAGCTTTGATTTAGGTTCAACTGCTAGAAAAATAAGTTGTTTTCTGTTTCAATTCCTTCCCTTGGTCCATAGTTTTTCATGTGGGGTGCAGAAGGCAGGTGAACCCACAAGAGAGAGCCTGTTTTGGGGGCTGTCTGGGATTCCCACTGTGCTACATCCCCATATCATCATTCTGCTCCTCTGTGAAGACTGAAATAGGAAAGGGGCATTTGAGGCTGTGCCCCCAGGACTCTGCTCACCTCTAACATCCCTCTTTCAAATCCTGTTCTTTCCCTGCCCCATTCACTGGGTGCAGCATCCATCTCCATTTGATTTTTTTCTAGGGAAAGAGGGGAAGAGGAAAAAGAGAAAAAGAGAAGGAAAGGGAAACAAAAAGGAAAAGAAAAAAGGGAAGGAGGAAGGAAGGAACAAAGGAAAGAAGAAAGGAAGGAGAAGTAAAAATAGGAGATTAAGAACTGAAAAGAAGGAAAACAGAAGATGAAGGAGAAAGAGAAGTAAAAAGCCCAGGTGTCTTTAGCAACAGTGCAACAAGAGAGGCAGCAAATGCAGCTCCTCTTTATGTAGTGCTCACCTAGTCTGTGATTTCCAAGGTCTGGACAAGAAATGAGCATCTCTCTTATTGTCTTCTCCCATTTTGCCTTTCAAGAAGCCAAAAGAGCCTTCAATAACAGCAATTCTGGTTCCTCTGTGTTTCCCAAAGAGATAGATACAGACTTTAATGCCATTAGAAAGACTGACAAATAAATGTATTTTACATTTAAGAGAATTCCTCTCTACAGGTGAAGGGAAAGAGGTAAACAGCATTATTAAATTGAATTTCACTTCGTCTTTTACGTTTCAAATGCTGTAACAATTTTCCTCTCCTTCTTTGCATCTTTAAGATAGGGTTAAAAAGATTTAATGGAGGTTGTTGCTATGGTGTTCATACCAAGGTGTCTGCATTCATTCCACTGAACATGGTTAGTGCTTGAATGTATTTACACCTTTGTCTGTCTGGATCTATTTGCTCTCTCAAAATTAACACGGCACACCCCAGCTGGGAGAGAACATGTGCTTGTTTTTGCCTTGAGAAGATGCAAAGTAAATGCAATGTGAAATAAAGGTCTGCAGGCCTTTTTTTTAACACTTCTCAAATGTTTTCATAGACTCAAAATGTGCAGAGACAGACATGAGAGATGCTGCACTCGGCAATGTCTGCACATCAGGGCACAAATTATTTAGGTTTTTTAATAGCTTTATGAATCATTACAACTGATAGGACAGTCCTTTCCAGCTGACATCACAAAGAGTTATTCCTGAATGACATCATCATTGGAACTTTTAGAGGAGGAAAAAGAAGAAAACTACAGAGCAAAGGGGAAAGCCTAAGGAATTCACAGCCCTTCAGACACCTTGCCCCTCATCCCTGAGCAGAGGCAAGAGGCTGAGCTCCAAGTCCAGCCTTTGTGCTAAGGAGCTGGCAGTGCTGCTGAGCCTCATTGGTGACACAGGTGGCCTTTCCCTCTGGAGATGCTGCCCCATCAAACTCCTCCCCTTGCACACACCAGTGCCTGCACACACACACACACAATGGCACTCAGGTCCTCCTAAAGACGCAGCATAAGACTGAGCTTTTCCAAACACACCATCAGGTCCAGGCTGGAATTAGCATTATTGTATTTTAGAGGAATTAAAAGAGAGAAGTACACTATGAAATATTGCATAATAAAACTGCAGTCTGTATCATCTGCAACAAATACCTTATATTAAAATATTAATTTTGGAGCTGAATCACATTTTAATCCAAAGGTGCTGCTATTTCTAATTGAAAGGTGCTATTTTTTCTATAGAACATGCGGAACTACACTAATATATGAGTGAAAACACACAGAGTGAACTGCAAGAGCTTGTGTTTCTGATGGCTATACATCTTTTTCCTTGTAATTCTCTGCTACTCCTCCATTTGTGACCTGATGACAATATCTGTCATCTTTTTCAGTAAGTACTAGCACTGGTTTTAGTTTGTATGTTTGTTATCCTCCCTCCTGAGGTAAATCAGATGCCGTGGAGAAATACAGGCATGGTGTGAGATGGGCGGTTGTTCTGATTTAACATAGCAGCATTTTTCTCCGTGACAAGGAAATTTGCATCACTGGATGACCTTATTTGTTCCAAAATAAAGGTTGTTTCCTACTGACCAAAAAAGCCACAAAGTGTCCTTATTTCTGCAGAGAGGATGATGTCAGGAATGGGGGCTGCCTCTATTACAGGAGAAGGAACACCCATCAATGGGAACGAAAGTCTCTGCTGGAGCTCTTGCCCTTGGTGGTGCAGCCTAAGCAGATCACCTTGAATGCTCTCCTTGGAGCCATGTGTGATTTAGGTCTTGGCAACAAGAAATTGGGTATCCTGGAAACTTTATTCTGAAATGCTTTAAGAAAGGCTTTAACTGGTCCATTCAAAAACCTTTTGAAGCTGGTGCCATGTCCCCAGTGACAACATAAGTTAGTGCCAAGGGAAAAAAAAAGAACTGGGCAAGCAGGTATCATCTTTTCCCAGATGGCAACTATTTTAGCTCTCCCACATTTGGATGTGTTTTCATGTTTTCGGTAAGTTTCTCTTTCATCTCCACCCATCTACCCATGTAACTTCAGCATTCACAGCATCCTTTGGCAATGAGTTCCACAGGTCTATTTGCTAAGCCACACATAATTATTTTTGGTTTGTGTACATTGGAGTTGACGTAGGACATAAATAACAGTGTGGCAAGTCCATTCAAAGTGAGTCCTTCCTGCAGTCTGAGCATCTTCGTCTCCAGCTCTGGCAAGTACTGCTCTCCTGAAGCCACATTCTTCCTCAGGGCGTGTGGGAGCCAAAGGAAGAGATCTGAATATGAATCTTAGCACCACATGGCATCACTCAGAGTTTACACATTTACTCTTAGTTGTCTTATTTCTAAGCTGCCTATTC